GAGCTTTGGAGTTCGGCCTTACAGAAACATGGCTGCAAAGGCTGATCTTCCTGCAGACCTTGGCTCTGGGCTGTCACTCTCCAGTGTTAGTCTCGGTTGATGATATCTGCTCTCGGCAAGTAAGGCTGGGCTTGCATTTTCCTGCAGGCTGCACTCTACACTGCCTGAGCCAGGTCTCCCATGTCTTGCACTTTTCAGCGTGTCCACGTATGACCTTTCTGCTACCTGCAGCTGCCTCTGAGAGCAACACGGAGCCTCATTTCATAACAGGAGAACTGGGCACTCCCAACACTGAGAACAAGGCACTTTACTTCATGATTTTGCATACCCAGCTATTAGCCCAGAATGGTAGGTGTGCTTATTGAATGCAGACAATTTTGGTTTTGTTTTGTCTTGTTTTCCTTTTTTCACTTAAATGTGAAGCAAGGTTGTTTTACATGTTAATCTCTCTCTGATCCCAGGAGTTTGGCTAGTTTTAGCTGTGGGTGTCTGCTTCTGCTTCCATCAGCTACTAGGTGAAGGCTCTAGGATGGCATATAAGGTAGTCATCAATCTCATTATCAGGGAAGGGCATTTAAGGTAGCCTCTCCACTATTGCTTAGACGGTTAGTTGGGGTCATTCTTGTAGATCTCTGGACATTTCCCTAGTGCCAGATTTTTTTCTTAAGTCTACAATGGCTCCCTCTATTATGGTATCTCTTTTCTTGTTCTCCTCTATTCTTTCCCCGTCTCAATCTTCCTGTTCCCTCATGCTCACCTCTCCCCTCCAAATTGGGAGCATAGAAGGAGGGTAGAGGGAGTTAGGAGAAAGAGAAGGGCAGAGAAGTTTTCAGAAGCCAAATTCAAGCTTTCCCTCCCTTTCCTCACTGACTGAGTAAGCAGGAGGACACAATTTTACATGTCGTCCAAGTCTTATCTTTCCTACTGCCTCCCCTGTTTGTCCATTTATTAACCATGGCCCTGTCTGAGTTCATCTCTATATTGTACACTGTTTGAAGTTTATTAGCTGCATGACCCTGTTATGTCTGCAGGTCCCTAGGCAAGCTTGGCTGTTTATAATTTTCTCTTATAAACTTTCAGTTTAGCTGGAGGGGAATCTAGACTAACAGGGCTGAGGAACTAAACTAATAGAGCTGCAGAGAGCTAGACTAGGACACTTGGGGGGAGCTAGACTAGGACATCAAGGGGGGCAGCTAGACTAGGACACTTGGGGGGAGCTAGACTAGGACATCAAGGGGGGAGCTAGACTAGGAGGACATCAAGGGGGACAGCTAGACTATTGCAATCAGTGGGGAGCACTAGACCAGCACATCTTGGGGGAGCTACATTAGCACGTTTGGAGAGCAAGAGCAGTGTACCTTGAAGAGGAGAGCTGGCCTAGCAGGCATAGCTGGGTCTCCAGTTTATTGTTCCGAGGTAGCTGAACTTCGGAGCACTCTGGAAAATGGCTGTTGTAGGCTTTTATTTTTTTGCACATCCTCAAGCCATCTTCCTGGCTTCCTGGCTGTTGGGTATCACCTGCTTTCAGCTCCACTCAACCCTCCCCTGGGTTAAGTCAACGTCAGACACATAGCTTCTTCTTTAAGATGGCCGTGGCCCTCTGCTCTTCACAGGAGGGGGAGGGGGGAGTAGGATTCTACTGATAACTCATCCAACAAAGGAATCATTGTCTTAGCAAGCCTGCAGCTGGTTGGGGGCTCCTATGGGTTGTGGACTTACCCTGCTGTGACACTGGCAGTACTGTTGGAGCAAGGCTGCCTGGGGTGACCCTACCCCACCCATCCCACTCAGCTGGAGATGTTTGGCTTGGATTCTTCTTCTTGGGTCACCTGTGTTTTTCTCTGCAATGGTCAGGTAGCCTGTGCTATGTTTGTGAATTTCTAAAGCTGCCTCTCCCTCCCCCTCCCCCTCTCCTCCCTCTTCCTCCTCCTCCTTCCCTTCTTCCCCCACCCCTCTGTAGAATAGATGCTATTCTTTTTTTCTTATTCTGACCCTTTCTGTTCACTGTCTCCCACACAGGCAGCTTCTTAGCCATCTTGCCCAGAAGACAAAGTGCATCTTCTGTTTATGAGTGCAGGTTGACTCATATTTTTTAAATGCTTCCTCTTTCTATACTTTCTGTTATTTAATAGGAAGCTAAATTCAGTCAGGATTGCGAGATGGGTGAAAGATTTTGTGGCTGTGTCTACTCAATGAAGATTTTTCCAGACCAATATAATTGTGGGACTGTGATTATTTAGGAAGCATGTAGGCTTTTACAAAATGCTTTTATGCAATATGAATTTCAAGCAATGGAACATGGGGGCCAGATGATTTCTGTTGAGAAGTTCTAGACTGCCAAGACTTTCCTAAGCATAAATTTAGAACACCAGCAACAGAGAAGCAGGAATTACTTAGGGAATCATCACCCCATCGTCACCCACTGTTGAGCCCATGGCACCACCCCATGCTGCTTTTCATCTTTTCTCTCGATGGACCTCACAGAGCCAAACACATAATTTTTTTTAAAGAATTACAATTGTGGGTGGAATAATAATATAATAGAAATTGTATATTCTTCAGTTCTAAAAAAAGAAAAATGTGTGACAATATCATCTCCTTTCGTCAATTAACTTTTAAAAAGAAATGACAAACCACCACTAATTTGAAGAATCATGTTTCCCACTTCGATACTTCATCCTGATATCACCCCTCCCCTTGAAGGGATCAAGATTCACAGAAACGTTGTCAGAAGTCAACATGTCACTTCATTTTCCACGTCTAATCTAAAACGCAGAGTGCTTCCTCCTGCATGGAGCTGTAGGAAGGCATCGGATGCTTGGCCCTTCACTGAACAGACTCTTAGGGAAGTGCTGGGTGAAGTCCTTCCAGCTTCTTCCTGAGCACCACTGAGCTGAAGGAAGCTAAGCAGGGACACTTTGTGGTGTTTCCTGAGGCACTCAAACTGGGACTCCACTAAGCAGACTATTTGCTTACCTTGAAACTCTTTCTTAATATGCATCATTAAAATGAATGCATGCTAAATAATCTCAGGTTTGGTACTTGAAATACAGATAACTGTGGAGGATAAAATGTGATTTTTTTTGAAAAGGCTATTAAAAGTTAGAGCGGAATATCAAGGACTCATCTAACTGATGAGGGGGTGTGCTGCCCGAGTATGTCACTCATCTCCTAAACTGCTCTGTGACAAGTGGAGTGCTGTGAAAGGTCACAGTGACTGCAGATGGAGTTGTAAATCAATGTCGTGTTTATAAGCTCCCAGACACACAGTCCTGTCATTGAGAGGGTAGCCTTTCTCAGTGGTATGATTAAAAATAAAACCCAAGCCAACATGAAAACCATTTCTCTTCCTCTCAACTCTTGAAGAGATAGAAGAAATAGAGAAG